TAAATATCATGGTTTTTGTATATTTGTTACGAATTTGATAGGAAAGTAAGGGAGATCGCTGCAAGCGGCCGCGCCCCCGCAACTACACTTATTTATAAAATGAAGAATATATTTATTATTTATGATATAAACATTGTATTTAAACATGGCGCCGCACAAACGACGGCTTTTCTATTCGCATCCGCATTGTTACTTAACTATTAGGTAGTAAGGACTTGTTTACAATAAACTCGAAAAATAAAGCCTTGCATTGATTAATATTTGTTTTATTTATTACATTACCTGTCGTTATAATTAATATATTTACAAAACTGAAAATATACACCGTCTGATTCAATGATTACCTGAAAATATACAATATATATTGAGTCAACTTGTACTATTGAAATATACAAAAAAACTAGAACCACTCTATAAGTAGCAATTATTTATCCCTTTAAACCGCCTCCCATTATTAAATAGACTCCTCCCCTAACACTGTTAAGCTCCGCCTCTTACGCACATGCCAGTACAATTGGATAGTTGCGTTAGAACACTGGCTGTAATCTACATGACAGTTGAATGCCAGCAATTATCCTAAACGCTACAATTCAATTTTACTGACAAACTAAATATTAGAGTAAAAAATGTTCCTAAATTAATTTTTCTTAACTTCTTAAGAGAACATTGTAACAGTGATGACAGAAGACTGAACAATATCTAACAATCAGAGACGATAGGGCAAATACTGAAACGAAATTTAATTATTTAATGTCTTTCATCACGATTAAAATCCAAATTCCGTTAATTTTTTGACCTCAGAGAAATTGTAAGAGGCGCTAAAAAAGAAATGTTTAAGGTTCCCGACCTACCACCACCCATAACCCCACCGACCCTCGGGTCACTCGGGCCGAAGTGTGTATCTAAGTTTCGTTTCAGTATTCTACCATATGAATTAGTATGTAGCATATAGCAAGGTTTACCGCTAGCTGTAGTGTGCGTATGTACGCGGCACGCGTCGGTACGAGATCTCCGCACGCGCACTTACGTACGCCTCCGCTTTCGTTATCTGTAATAATCACTTCTCGTTATAAAAATGAGCTGGCGGCGTACTGTGGACGCCCTCTGCCCCACTTTGGGGACATAGGAATGTAAGAGAGAAGAGTTATAAAAACTTATTAGTCTTTTTTATGAAAAAAGGGAGAAAGCGAGAAGTGGATAGCTACTTAATTAGTTATCTATCTATACTAATATAAGTAGCTAGGTTGCTATGGATACTTGAATTTTCAGCCAATGGCATGGGCTTTTTTGGTCATTTGAAATCACATTTGCAATTGAAAGTTTTGAGAAATGTAACATAAAAGTTTTTATAATGCCATGCGGATGAAGCCGCACGGGAAAAGCTAGTAACATAGAAATTAAATTCTACATAGTTATAAAAGCAATAGTACAAGGCTGTGGAAGTGGTACTAACCAGGGAAGCGCGTTCTGTGGGTCCGAGCGTGCCCAGCAGCCAGCCGCGACCCAAGCCGTCGAAGTCGCCGCTCAACACCGCCTCGATAGCGCTCGTCCGCAGCAGCTGCGCCAGGATCACTATAATGAACTACAAACAACAGTTATAATAAGAATCGCTAGTAGACATTTAAATTTACAACCTGAACCAGAGTATTGCCTAAGAAGATAAGAAAAGGTAGTTTAAAAAAACAAGTATGGTTACTTAACTTCATTATAGCTCAAATAAGACATGCACAATTTCATTCGAACCCGCAGTAGGACCTGAGTATCCTTAGATTTTGTATGATGACACAAACAGTTGTGATTTCTGGCTATTGTGGTGCCACCTATGTATCGTATATGTTAAGTACCTGTAGCAACAGCACGAGGACGTTGAAGACTTGCAGACCGAGCAGAGCGCGGGCGAGCGGCGCGCGGATAGCCTCCGCGCAGCCCCGCGTGTGCAACGATGCGCTTGGTAAGGGAGATCCCGCCGCCCACGCGCCGCGCCACTCAACCTTAATACGCAGTTAAACCCGAATCATCATCTGCCCTTCCTTATGTACTTCTCTAAAAGATAATTCAAGTAGTAAATTGTAAGGACCTGCTGCAGAGGATCGTGATAGCAGGCGGCAAGCACACGCGGCGTGCAGCACGAATACGGTGACACAGGCGGCAGGATCTTTCCGTCCGTGCCTGCCAATCTGCCACAAATATAGTGTAGCAATCTTTATGTAGCAGTAGTAACTGTAAGCTGACGTATAAACTGGTACTAACTTCATGACGACGAGCGACTCCTCGTTGAGAAAGTCGAGGTTGATCCAAGGTATCTCGTGCCAGTCGTTAGGCCGCTCCACGCCGCAGCAACTTAGCTCTATCTGACGTTATACGCAATACAATATTTACAAGATATTGCAGATATAATATCCATAA